GGGCCGGGAAAGGGTGAGCCGTGATGCGCGGCGGGCGGCAGCTGAGCACAGAGAGGGCACCGCTGCGTTCCGTGTGCGAAATCCTTGCCCCGGGGAGGCCAAGAGGAAATTCTGCCTTGACCTGAGCAGGGCTGGGCCTGCATCCTTTACATGTTGGACTGGTTTGTAAACCGGGGTCAAGCTTCCTGAGACCGGAGGTTCCATGGCTTTGACTGTGTCCGCTGCTCCAAGGCTGCCTTCCTCCCTCCTCGCACGCTGGCTGGGCAGTGGAGGTTTCCCAGTTCACAGGACACTGGACAACAGCTACAACGAACTTACGGACGCTCCCCCAAGCTTCTCTCCTCCTTGCAATGAGCCACTTACAGTAACGATGGCCTTTTGAGCAGCTTCGTTGTGAACAAGCTTTGCCTTCTCAAGCGCTTTTTCAAAGTTCATGATTGCAGACTGGTAATCCTTTAATTTGACTGTAACAGACAAATTAAAACATCTGTTTGAGCCCAAGATCAAGAGGACAACAGTTAATCAAGCCTGCCTCTGATGAGAGGCCTGATCTGAACGGTTTCTTTGGCTCTCAAATCACAGAGCTGTTTTCACTAAGACGCTGCACAGGCAGGCTGTCCCCAGGCTGTCCCTATCCCGCGAGCAAAATTTGTACTGGTGCCTTTACCTTGTGCTTGTGCCACCAGCACGGTAGCATGGAGCTGCCACTCAGCGTCTCCCCCTTCCTCTGCTGACTGCAGGGACTTCTCTCCGTAATCTTGGGCTGCTTCAGCTTTGTTCAGCTCCAGGTAACACCGGCCGATTTCGTGGAACAGCCAGGTCTTCTCCAGGCTGGATTTTGCCATTGGAATCTTCTCCTCCCAGCTTCAAGCAGAGAGTAAGAAAGGCAGACGTTACCAGACTCTCACCAGCTCGGTCACCGTTTCACCACTGATTCTGTAAACAAAGGGTCCCGGGTACTGTCGGGATGTAAATGTCACAGCCCCCCCTTGATGGCAGTAGGAGTAAACAGACTGCAAAGACATCAGCTATTTCACCCAAAATACAACCTCACGCCTCTTCTGATCCGGATTTTACATACGTGTCAATAGCTTGCTGGAATTTGCCGATTCTGGCATAAACTCTGCCAACGTTACCAAGGGCTCGGGACACGGCGTCTGGCAGATTGCTGCGTTGAAAAGAAAAAGAAACCATAGTAGCTGACAGCGTCTCGTTCCTGACACGGTCTGCGCTTCCTTCACCCACCTTCCGCCTTCTCTGGTGCTCAAGGTGACATGGGCTGCGTTGGGAATGAGAGGTGAAGGACCCACGTTAGACTGAAAGTCTTAAAATCCAGATAGATTTTTGGGTTTATCCACAGCTGTTGCAGCTGACGCCCCGTAAGGCACAGGGGAAAGGGCTTAGTTTTGTCTTTGGGCTTTGGAGGGGGGGGTGCAAATCTGACAGCCCTTGTGAAAGTCTTTCCACTTCTCTTTGCCTCAGTTTCCCTTTGTAGGTCCCACGGATGTGGGCGAGGGTAAGCGCGTCGGCCGGGCCCCCGCGCATCGCCGCGTTTCTGTCCGTTAAATGCAACTTTATAGCAGTTGAAAAAAGTAGTAAAGCTATGTACCTCCTTCCCGCCTCTCTACTGCTAATTGTCACCTTTATTCGGCATAACTGGGGAGTGGAGATCACCAGGAGAGAGGCAGAAATTTCTTAAACCCATAGTAATTTTAGAAAGTGAATTGTGAAAATGATAAACAGTCAGTTGCATTTTAAAGGCCCATTTTTGCAGTACCGGCAAAATTAAAACCAAAATAACTTCAAGCAACTGTTCAGTGTTTTCTCCTGTGCTTTGCAAAACGCTTCCTCAATCTGAAGACCACGTTTTGCTCCATTCTGTTTTAGCTGAAGGGACTGCAGAATGTGTTCTGCGTGGCAGGTAACTGCACCTCTTAGCTGCCCATTTCAAGCCTGCTAGCATGGTTTGAATGCAAATGATTTTAAAAGAAAACGTAGCAGAAAACCCGTGCAATTTAGAGCTTGATCTTCCAGAGAAGCAAGTGCATACTGAAGGCTAAAGTGCCGAGACTGGGACTTGTGTTCTCTTTTGCTTTGCTTCAGCAGAGGTTTTGACGTGCCACATGGTCTAGGTCCCTTAAAAATCTGCTTCAGGCTCCTTGTTTTTGAAATAGTGAAGATAATAAGGTGCTAGAGACCATGATACTTGGGCAGAGTCTGAATGCATTGCCCTGTTCAATCTCCAGGGGAGAATTACAACATTACCTGACGCTAAAGCATCCTAACAAAGGTACTTTCCTCTTTTCCCCATCCAGCTGAACTTCTCAGCACTTACTGCTGCCTGGCAGACTCCAGGTGCCTTTTGTGGCTTTGCAGAGCCGCCTCCATCTGGCCCATCTCCAGCTGCGCATTCCCAATGCAGCTGTGGAGGTTCCCAATCAGCTCGTTCTTGTTGGGAACTTCTTCATCTGAGCACCCTTGTACCGTTTTCAGCACACGCTCGGCTTTCCTGCAGGTCTCCTCCGGGGAGTCGCCGGTCAGCACTGGGGAGAAAGAGGGGCGTTCAGTGCCAGCGTGCGGACACAGCGGTACTGGGGAGGTAAGACCGAGCGCGGTTGTGCAAGCCTCAGACAAAGCCTGGGAAAGGTCAGAGCTCCTAACTCCTCACGCATCTCCTGCACTGCTCTGTGCAGTCTCCAGGACAGCTGCCCCTCTGACCCTCCAGCTGGCACGCCTGGAGGTGGCTGTCATCGCAGCGAGGAAGGGGAAACGACTGGTAACACCTCACACCGGCTGAATTAAAATAGAGCGATGCTTCTTGTCCGAAGGTTCTGAAAGCTGACGCAGTTATTGCAGCGGGGCAGCCTGGCCCTGGAGAGGAAGTTCTACCTACAGTACTTAGGTTTTTCCTCCTAAATTAGCCCCTTGCACTTTCCTGGTGAGCTCTGCTCCCTGCACCCAGCCGGGCTCCGGTGCTGCGGGACTGGACTGCAGCCTGTTTCTGACACCGCCTTCACGCGGCTGGTGGAGCGACAACGAACCGAATCGCAGCAACAATTAAATTCTGTTCCCTGGGCTGTAAGTACGTAGGACAGGAAGAGAGAAAGGGACAAGAAGTGGCTGAATGACTCCTTCCTTCCACCACTGCTATTCAGCATCTTCACCTCTCTACAATGGTATTTTTGAACTGCAGAAATTGTTAACTCCGGTGGCCTGCGTTCTCTCAATAAAAGAATTTCTGAGTACCAGACCAGAGGCATTTGCCGAGCGTGCAGCAGTGGCCTACCTGGCTTTGCTATCTCAGCAGTGTCCTGAAAACCAGTCAGCAAGACCTCAAGGACAGGAGAAGCTGAGAAAAAAATGTGTTGGATTCTGTACCTGAGAAAGTGTTGGGAAAGGTGAAGAACACAAAAGCAAATACTTCCCCAAAACTGCCTGCTAGTGTTTGTTACACTGCACTGCTTCTATTGTTCTGGTCAGTAATTACTACAGTAACTAATTACATGTGCTAATCATCATTTTCTTACTGCTTCCAGCCAGGACACCTACGCATGTCGATGTCCTCCATGCTCTTCACAATGTATCTGCCAGCCTCAGCCGGTTTTGGTTTCTTGTCCCGGATCCACCTTTGCTGCTGGAGCTTGCGCTCTCTCACGCGGGCGTAAATGGGCTTCTGCTGCTGCCAGAACTCGCTGCGTGCCTCCAGGTAGGAAAGGCCGCTCAAAACCAGGTCCGCTACTTTGATGCCCTGCTTTGTGCTGCTCTCCATCAGATCTGAAAACAAGATGGTAGAACCCAGGAGAGCATTAGCGTGCGCGATGGATGAAGCTGCAGTTCAGTGGGGGACTGCTTGGGAGCATTTTTCTGCTCTGAGAGAGATCGTCCTAGAAATTAAAGTCTTCAGTGCTCCTCAGAACTGATGTGACTAGGGGGGAAGTCACGGGAAGCTCTCTGGCTGTCAGGCGTTCTGAGTGTTTGAGTGAGGTGGAGCTGGGGTTCCCAGCCCCTGTAGTCGCTGCCGTCTCTGCTGCCAGGAGCTGAGAGGGGCCCAGTTCGTGGGGGCCGGCTGTGGCGAGCGAGCGCCCGTCCTCCTGGGCACGACACGGGGCATTGGTAGCGAGACGGCACTTTGGGAAGTGGGGTGGGGTGGGGTGCAAGATGGAAACTGAGAGCGCTTTTACGGGGCTGGAACCAGACAGCCCACATACGTTATGGATGCTAGTAATACCGTAAGGCCCACGAGCAGACTAAATTCTTAATTACTTCACTATTATGGGGTAAAAAGTTCCCTAGAAAAATGACTAAAGGGGAATCACCCTTCTGCCTCATTGTAAAATAAGATACTTCTCTGAATCCTGCACCTCGGTCTTAACAGCATTTATAACGAAACCACAAATGAGTTACAGTCTTATAAGCAATGCTTTGCACTTAATGCCAGTGTTGGTGGAATTTATCATTATGACAGAAGTTAAGTAACTTGTACTTATGTTGTTTCTGCTTTTAATTTCATCAGCACAGATTGCTTTGAGCTGATTTATTGTTCGTTATAAAAGCCTGCCATTTAATAGGGAAGGAAACATGGTCAGACATAGTTATGAACACTGGATTCTGGCTCCAAAAATACCCGACCTCTCCAGACTCCTGCCCCTCTCACAACCACCGCAAGCACTACCTGCTACGAGAGCTCTGACACTAATAGGGAAGAGGAGTCGCAGGGATATAAAAGAGGGGAAAAAAAAGAAGAACCTGCTTAGAAGGAACACTTAGATAAATACAATGGGGAATGACCTTCATCCTTGAGCAACTTCTCTAGGTAGGCCTTGTCAGCATAGAGCTCTCCGAGAAGCTGTCGCTCTGTTTTTGGATTCCGTGCAGGCCCCTGTTTCCTTGTCCGTTTTTGCTCCTTCGTCAGTTTGATTTGGAGTTTCTGATTTGCGTTTTTGCTCTACAGCGAGAGAAAATAAAGGAAGTTGGGGGAGATTAGTGGGGAACACTGGAATTAGCAGAATTCTGTTTACACTCCATACAAGCCAACTTAATTTTTAAACGTCTCACCCATGGCTTTGATCATGAGCAACTGAAATTTTGCACCCAATTGTGCTCCCTCACTTGTGAGAACAGGAGGGGGCATTAGAGTAAGAGCAAGAATCGGTTCAGCCCCGTGCCTCGTGCTGCTCTGGAGCGCTTCCTGCTCAGCGCCGCGGGAGGCTGTGGGAAAAGCAGGTCTGGTTGTCGAGAGTCAAAGAAACAGGCTGTGACAGCCAGGGCTTCTGCAACGTCAGCAGCGTGTTTCTGAAGTTTCAGAATCCCAACAATTACAGTGCTCAGGTTCAGGCTCCTTTGTGCAGCTGATTTTTGCCACTGGGTACCCGTAACTCTGGCCGAAAGAAGCAAGGAGCGTTCCCTGCGCTGACTTCAAAGGGAAACGTGACTTGGCACCTCGGAGGAACGCGGCTCCACCACAGCAGACCGCCCCAAAATGAAGCAATCGAGAAAGTGCCCATTATCCAAAATGTGAACCTTAAACATTAGGTAAACCCAAAGCAAATGCTGGAGACAAACGCTCCCTGGCTCCGACCTCAGTGCTGTTACTGATTAGCCTTGGGTGGGTGAGCAGCAGCACCCCGCAGAAACAGCCCGGCTGCCAGAGACATTTCACACGGGGCTTCGTTTCCCCTTGGGCGCTCTTCCCTGCTCTTCTGCCTTCTCCTGGAAACTGTGTGTGGCTTGAGCCAGAGCTCCATTACAAGCAGCTGCATAAATACTCTCGTAACGGATCAGCGTGCTTCCCGCGCTCCGGAAGCACTTCACCAGACCAGCCGTCTCCCCATCCATGTTGCTGCAGAAACTATTAATCCTCCAGTGCCTACTTCAGAAAGTATGAGCACTACAATAACTCTAGTTAGCTTCTAAAGCAAGAGCTCTTCAGACCATACCTCTGCCTGCCTGCTTATAAAGCACAGATCCTCTTTATTCTCCAGTTTAATTGAGGATGGACCTGCAAATACAGAGAAAATACTTGTTAGTGTTCGAGAACACCAGTGTGGAAGCTTTAGAAATTTAAATGACCATAAACGTGCCAAGCCTATAATGTCCCGTTTGAAATAAAGCGCTCTGCCAGTTCTTTCACGTGAAGTATGTGGGTGCTGGGGCGTTCTGTAAGCGAGGAACGCAGCTCACAGGCGCAGCTCCTCTCGGGATTTTCATCGCTCCTTCCGCGTGGCACCACGGGCGCCCATCCCAGTGCCCATTTCCTCCGGGGACGTGTGACATCCTCCATGGAAACGGGAAGCAAAGGTACGGCAGGTTCTTTGCAGGGATCACGGCCGCGGTTTACAGTGGAAGGAAAGCCCTAAGCACAGGGATCTCCAGCAACCCGGAGAACTATTTTGAAGTGTTTGTGCACTGACAGTAGGGCAAAGCTCCCATTTTATTTTCACTCCAACACCCAGTTCTGCTATGCAGATCGCACTCTGGCAGTGGAGGCAGGAGTGGAAAACAGCTCTTTGGTTTGGCCTGGTCAGAAGCAAGGAGGGAGCTTCAGCTGCTGCTGCGGAGGGATTCCTCCAGCAGGCAGCGGGGCTGAGATCAGCGCGGCGAGCGCGGGCGTGTCACGGAAGGCAGGGGTTTCTGACCCGGCCAAGCACAGCAGACTCAGGGAGGCAGGCTCGGGGATGTGCCCTGTTAATGTCTGTGCATTTCCCAAGCATTTAAACAGCTGGATCAAATGCTGGCAAGTTTCCTTGCTGCTTTTCCCCTGCACCTAGCAGCTATTGCTTGATTAAAAAAAACAAAAGTCACCTTGATTTTCAGTCTGTTCATTTGCCTACAGCCCAGGTACTTGAAGGCATTAAAGCCCTCAGCTCAGTATGTCAAACACGGCAAGCGTTGCAGCTGAGAGGCACAAAGATATCTGGGCAGCAGGATCAGAGGAAAGCAAGCCAGATCTGGAAACTTCCCCTGTTTTTTTTTAATCAGTATCACACATGAAAGAGCTTCAGGCTTTTACGCAGCTGGGCCTCGAAGTTAATCTGTGGCACTGGAGGTGGGCTGAGATTTTGAGACTGGTTTCGGGGAGCACAAGGCAGGCGGAGGCCTCGTGGCTCAGGGAGCCTGTGCGGGGTGTATGGCGTGGAGCGTCCCGGCTGGCGAGGGATGGGATGCTGGACCCTCTGAGATGGCCCCGACGGGCTTCCGGACCCTCCGAGCCCGCCCCCAGGGGCAAAACGAAGGGAAAAGGGACAGGTTCTGCGTTCGCTTTGAGCACCACCAGGTCCTCGGCCCCTCCTGCAGGACTCCGTCCCATCACCTAGCCAGAAGTTACGAAAGCAGTGCTCCTTGCGATAGGCACCGGTTTCACTGGTCTGGCGCAATGTGAAGCGAGGAAAGTCAGGATCTCAGGCAGGCCAGTCCCAGGCAGCCAGGCAAATCTCCTTACGAACTCTGAATATTAGGATAAAGATCTCGGAATGGATTCTGCAATCAGTAGGGCTGTAAGCAGGTAAGCTGCTTTGCTCAGTGTTACCTAGAATGGTTTCATGGTGTCTTTGGAAATTTAAGATAGTGTCATAATTCACTTACATAAGTGAAGTTATTAGGCACTGTATATGACTGGGCACTCAGCCAAAAGAGAACAGAAAAAGAACCAAGCCCTTGTGCTCTCTTTGGTGCTTCCTGGCTTCACCTGAGAGTGGCCACTGAGCCCGTGACTGCAGAGGCAAAGAGACTCTGCTGTCCCTGGGTCCCTGGCTGAGCTGCTCTGCCGTCGGCTGCCCACCGAGCAGCTTCTGCTGGGGTCACGGCGTGAGGCCTCTTACTTCCAATGCAGTTGACAATCGCCTGCTGGGATTTCTCGATACCCAGCCTGAACTTCTGTAGTTCCGGACGTAGTCTGTAGCCTCGATGATAAAACACTAAGGCAAATTCAAAGTCACCCATGGTATATAACGCCTCGGCCTTTTGGTAAAGTCCCTAGAATGACGTTTGGGGAAAAAACACAAAGAATAAAAAAGATTAAAATAAAATAAAGCTCCAGCAACCCCAGTTAAGCCCCTCTGGGCAGAAGCGTGGGCCCTGTGCCACCGCAGTCTGCCTACAGCAGGGTCCACCTGCA